AATTACAAACAGTAGTTGAAGGATTCATGACAGGATGCCCAGGTGGCTCAGTCGGTTAACTGTCCAACTCTTGATTTCGGCTCAGGTCATGATCTCAGGGCCGTGAGATCAAGCCCCTCATCGCGCTCCAGGCTCATCAGGGAGTCTGCTGGAGATCCTCTCTCTCTCTCTCTCTCTCCCGCTCTCTCTCTCTCTCTCTCTGCTCCTCCCCCCGCCCCGCTCATGTTCACTTGTACTCTCTCTAAAAAAATAAATTTAAAAAAAAATTTTTAAAAAAGGATTAATGATAATTTTATCTGAATTGTCCTAGATCTCAATCTGGAGTCAGCAATGCTCACAGTAGAATTCAATCAAACAGTAGCCATTTAAGGAGCATTTTCAAGGTGCTGGAAACTTTATATACATCATCTCAACTAGCCTCACTTTTCAGGTGAGGTCACTGATGCTCAGAAAGTGATGCACACCAAACCACGCCAGTAGTAAAAGACAAAGCCAGGTTGGAGCTCAGGTCTCAGACCCCAAGCCCCTGCCTGACCCTTTTCCCTGAAAAGCAGGCCAATGGGCAGTGCCCTGAAACGAGATGGCATTTTAGCAGTTACATCACTTTTTACCCTAATTTCCAAGTCAATGCCAACCTAGACATGGCTTAGTGTTTGGAGTCTTCAGCCCCTCAAAGTACCAAGCCCCACACATTCTCAATCACCCTTCCCCTGTCTATTCCCTTCCTCCTGAATGTAACCTACGTACCAGAAATAACAGTGAGTTTCTGAGGAAAGCCTGGGAGGACGTAGTCTCTTCAATGCTGCATTTCAGTAGAAACTGCCCAGCAGAGGGCTTGTGTGACTCCCAGCTGACCAGCGAGTCTCTGCAGCAAGCTCTGTACATGGAGCACTCCTGAAAAGCACCTGCCTGCTGGTAAGCTTCTCGCTGGCACAGAAGTTACGGGAATGCCAAGGCTGTGCATTTCTATCAACAGTAATAATCAGTGCTGCCTACTGTATGCTTCAAATGGTCTGAGGCTCTTTGACTGTGTTATCTCACTTAATTTTCATGCCAAGCGAAGGATGGTAGTATTACATCTTGCAGATGAGGAAATGGAAGTTCTGTTTACCAACCAAAGTATGAATTAACATCCAAACATTTTTGCTACATGGTGCATCCTCCCAACCTCTCCAATGTCACGAGAATCAGGAGAACTTTCTCCTTGCATCTCTCCCAGCAAAGAGAGATCTCCTGAATGAACCACATATTTCCCACAGATGAAGAACATGGCCAACATGGACCTGGACACAGCCTGGGTCTCCTGGGAGGTTACCTGTGCCATCACCCAAAGGATGTTTGTGATGGTCACAGAAGGAGAGAATGGTGTGGGACACCATTCCATTACGTGCGCAAAAAGGGGTCGAGAACTAGAAGTACTTGCCACAGGCTCACATCAACCTGAAAATGATCACTTTTGTACAAGACGGGGAAGGGAAACAGCACATCATGCTGGACTTAGCATTATAAAGGAAGCATACAGAGGGCGTGAGAACCCCCTTCCTCTGCTTCCTTTGCCTTCCGTGTCAATGAAGCCTCGGTAATTATTTGTGACTTATGTTCCTGGAAATGTGTGAACTGACAAATCCATTTCTTTCCCTTTAGCTACGGGATGATGTAGACATGAGATGAGGATAGGGAAGGGAGGGTGCCCTGGCTCTGACTTTGGAGTCAGCCGACCTGAGGCCCAATGGCTCACCAGCTGGGGCTCACTGGACCAAGCTTCCGTTTTTAGAAAAGGCACTTTTCAGCTCCGACAGTCTTCAACTACGGATCTGCCGACAAAGAGGGAATTAGCTGTCTCGGGTCTCTTCCCCACTCGAGATGCCATGTCACGCAGGTAGAAAGCTACCTCTTGGAACTGCCCACTTCTCCAGCTGCTGAAGAAACACCTTCCTGATGCATCCACCAGGCAGGGACGCACAGCTCAGTTTCATGGCCCGCTAACCTTAGCCACCTGGCACCTCTCAACACCAACCTCACCCCCCGTCTCCCAGGAAGACATCAGCAGTCTCCATCTGGTCATCATATCCCACCTGGGGAGGGAGTTCCCTTCCCCCCCTCCACCCCCCTTCCCCGCCACCATCAGGAGAGGAAAGGGGCTTGGGGACTGGAGTGATGATCAATACGGAGGAGTTTTATGAAAAAGAAGCCGTATGGTATCTCCAAAAGCATAATTATTTCCTGAATTATTATATCGCTGGTTCCCCCTTCTAGCTTAAAGTAGATCAGACCATATCCTAGAGCTTCTTTGAAATCACCAGCAGAGCGCTGTGGATTATGTTCTTCCCACCTTAGAAAGTCTAGCGATCTAGGTCAAGGAATTGTTTTGCTACCATTCTGTCTGGTGTTAGAAACTTTTCCCCAAATGTCCAATATTCATTCAATCATTCATTCAACAAATATTTATTGAGCACCTATTGTGTACAAGTTCCTGTATCAATCTGAGAATCCAGCAATAAATAATAGAAAGCTCGTGTTCACACAGAGATGACATTCTAATAGGATGGTGACAGACACCAAATAAATAAGCCAACACATATTATAGGATTTACTGTAGCTTAGAGATAAGATACCTTAGAGCCAGACGGACCCTGTAAACACAGAGAGATGGGGAGAGAGAAGGAAAAAAAAAATTTTTTCTAGTAAGGGCTAAATAAACCCCATCTGGCATATTTCTTGGTACCTAAGATAAATGTAATTTGGGGAAATTCTTTACATATAGAAATGTAATAGCCACGTCTTGTTTTCTTTCTCAGAAATGCAGGGTTGTCAGCTCCCCAGGAGATCTCAGGGAAGAGCCATAGGCTCCTGCCCAGCACCAGCAGGTGTTTTCACAGCCTGGCACACACTGCCTGGACAGTGAATGGGTTAAGGTGTCGGCGCTAGAGCTTGGAGCGCTGCATAAATAGTGTGCGTCAGGCGTTCTAAGCATGCTTCCTCCTCCTTGTCTCCCCGTCCTGGGCTGTCAATCACCTATCACTTGCCCGCACATCAGCAGCATTGTGCACATCACCAGACTGTCAGCAAAGAAGCTGATGAGCCTCGGCTCCAAACTGTCAATCATCTTTGTTTCTCTTCTCTGCTCAGGAAATATTTTGGCTCATAGAAACAAAGAAACCTGGACAACAATGGCTTATAGTCAGGCATTTACTCCCGTGCGTGGGTATAAGTAAGATCTTAAATGGGTACTGATCACGCCTTACCCTCAAATGGTGTTGGGGTTTGGGGGGGGTGGTGAGCAGAGGGAAGATCGAGACCCTGTTGCATTAGTACAGGCTTTAAAACTAATTCTAGTTCCCTGAGCAGACCCTGATGGATTCACAAACCAAAAAAACAAAACAAAACAAAACAAAAAAACAAAAACAAAACAAAGAAACCCACAGGAACACAAAGCAATGATAACTTGAAGTTATCTGAGCTTATGCCTCAAAAGAAAATGAGAAGGCTCAGAGGATGGATGACTGCATGGTTTGAAATTATTCACCATAGATCAGGCAGGCTTTTGGGGAGAGAGTAATTGTTGGATTGCAGAGTTCATTTATCTCCCGGGACTTCTGAAACAGCAGCTTCTGTACCCGACTCTCCTTCTCTCCGGGGCATGAAGCTGCTTGGGGGCACCCACACACAGGTAGGCAAGTTCACTCTTCAGGACCCCCATGAGCTGGGCCTGCCAGTGCTTATGACAGGAATCATTATGTTGAATGCAAAGACTCTCTAAAACAGCCCACTGTCTGGCATAACCAGCAGCCCCTCTCATCCAAAATACTTATTAGAAATGTCCCGCTCCCTTAAAAGCCCACAACAAATAAATCTAAAGATGCTCCTGGCAATGAGTTCCAATTGGGCGCAAGTTTACGTTGTCCTGCTCTCCCCAGTTTGCCACTTGGGCAAAATCACCATGCATGCATTAGCATAATTAATCAGCTTGCCATACAATAGATCCAAATACTACTTGGTTGTCCAAAGCCCTCTAAAGTTAAAACAAACAAACAAACAAACAAAAAACTCTAGTGGCTTTGAAACACATTTAGCAACAATCAGATCTTTTAATCATGTTTATCATGAGCCTTATTATCTATCAGTTGCCCAATGCTCTGGATTGACGGTTCATACACACGGTGTATGAACACCATCATCATCTCTGTGTTTGTGACATTTGGGATGTTTTACCCTCTGACAGATCCTTTCATACATGCAATGCCAATTTCTGAAAACACATCTCTTTCTGATCTAACCAGACATTAATTGCTTTTGTGCTGATGTTTCTATGCCTCTTAGTCTTATAGCACAGCTAGCAAATCTGATCTCTGACAAGTTGGCTGAACCTAATCAGGACAGATCAGCTGCTACCCAAGGTGCCACGGGCAGTAATTTGAGGATCTTTACAGAGTTATCACTCGCTGGAAAGACAAGGAACTATAATTCTGTCAACACTAATCCAAAACTGTATGTTCAAAGCAGCGGTGGCCTCTCCCCCGCCCCCAAGAAAAGCTAGCACTTGTCAAATAAATACCTGAGATAATTGATAAGACAAAATTAGGAGGCTGTGGCTGATACGGTAACTGTGAGAATTTCTTCCTTTTCTTTTTTTTCAAGGAAACTTCAGAAGCAGAACATTGGGCATAAAATGTCAACTGTCAAGGATAAGGGAGGGTCACAGGGAAGAGTTGGATGGAAACCCCGCAATCCAGCTCCCACTTATCATTGGGTGACTTAGTTCATATTTGCCTCACTCGCCAAACAGGCAGGTGCCCAAACATTCTCAGCCTTGAAGGAAAGCTCTCTCAGCCGACCCAGGCTGCCAGCCGGTGACAAAGCCTTGATGGGAAGCAAGAACCTCGTCAGCAGAGGAGGTGTTATTGTGAGGCTGTCAGCCCCGTGCTATTCTCTGAAGACCCCTGTGGTTTTCTTACAGGCGCAAAAAGAAGGGATATTAGGAAAATAAACTTCTTTCTTACTGTAACGCTTTGGTCCATCTTCCAAACAAAATGAAAGGGTTAATGTGGCATCATCTTCAAAAAACTCGGTGGCAAACGCGTCCCACCAGAGGTTGTCGCTATCCTGCAAAGAGACAGATCGTTTATTTAACAGGCAAGAACAGAAACTACCTCAAAGCAGGAAAGGGAAAGGAAAAAGAAAGACAAACCCAGTCTCCACTTGCTTGTTACTCAGCATATGTGTGTGGGTGTTCTAGAAGGCAGGTGGGCGAGCGTGTGGTCACTCCTCAAATTAATTGCCTCAAATGGGGACCGAATTCCAATTCAATAAATGAGTGAATGCAAACGGAATGAAAATTAATTCTCCAGGACATATTTGGGGAGATTTAATAAATGTACTTTGGAACACAATGTGACATTCTTTAACAAAAAAGGTTTACATTTCATGTAAAATACATTCAACTTCTTTTTGGTCTTTCTCTTTGCTCTTTTAAGAATTTGATTTTACCACCATATCACAACGAGTTGAAGGAGAGTACATTTTTAAAAAATAATCCATTCAAAAAGGGGTGTGTGACTTGTAGCCCTACCCTACGCAAATGTTCTATGAGATACAGGTATTGCCACATGCGTGTACACAGACAGATGATACACAGTGGTCCACGCTTGCACAAACCCCCATCACATGCATATGGATTGTTCTTGAGGATTGTTTTAAGATTATAGGCAATCTTGTTGCCTTGTTATTAACATGATTATTAAAAATAGAGCAGTTCAGCAGAATGCAAACTATCCATGTGAACTCTGTTTGTTTTGGGTTGAGCGTCTCTTGCTCATCCAGAAAACACTTTGAAACTGGCCCAGTTTAAGGCAGTTAAAATCATTGTTAATCATTGGGGGGGGGGGTCCTATAAGAGCAAATCAGGAAGGTTACACCGAGTGTCATATTCTAAAAGGGGGCATCATACCTGGCTTCGTGCTCTGCATCTTGCCCCATGTAACCCCAAATTCTTAAGCAAAATTTTTTTCCCAGAGAATCTTTGGTCCATGCCAGACTTTAGGAGGAGATGTTCTGCAGCTGCCTGTCAGATGAGGGAGGGCCAGCTCCCCACTCTGTGGCCCCCACTGCCGTGGCCCTGGTGGAAATACTGCAAGCCTCTCTTCTTCCCGTTAAGTTGCTCTGCTTATGATAACATTAAGTTGTTGTCACTGGCAGGCATCAGGAATGAGCCTTCAATCCTGACAAGAAGAATTAAAGGGCCACCGAAGATTGACGCTGTCTGTTCTCATTTCAGAAAAGCAACAGCTCAGGCAAATGAATTTTTTGGTCTTTTTTTTTTTTTTTTTTTTTTCTGGCTTCCTTCCAATCACCACACCAAAAGCCAGCACTTTTCTTGGTAAAACACAGTAAGTATAAAAGCACCCAGGGGCAATTCATGACTCCACATACAAACTACCTCTCCCATTTTTTGCCCCCAAAACAAATATTTATTGAGCATTTATTACGTGCAGGTCCTCAGAGCATACAGCTGGTTGAGAGACTGGTCCCTACCCTCAAAGGGCTCAAACCCACGAGTAGGAGAGAGCCAAGTGAGCGACTAACAGGAGCCTCCCTCCAGACCCGAGACCACAGCACGAAGCCTCGGTGTTGTGGAAGCTGTCAGAGTTTCTAGAAAAATCAGTGTGCTTAGAAATGGAAGAAGCAGCTGGGGAAGAAAACCCCACTTGGGAGCCTGGGTACACTGGTTTATTTTATTTCAAATTGCTACACAGATGGAAAAAGAATAATAGTTAACATTTATTGAGTGCTTACCACATGCCAAGCATTATTCTAAGCGCTTTATGTGTATCTTCCCTCTTACTCCTTATTACCTCCCTGTTTCTTGTTTGTTTGTTGTTGGTTTTGGGTGTTGTGTGTGTGTGTGTGTGTGTGTGTGTGTTTTGTCCTTACTCTCCTGTATAATTTAATTTTCTTGTGAGCAGGGGCTCTGTTTTGCTCCCTGCGCTATCTCCCAGGTCCCTGAATGGTGTCAAGCCCATGGTATGACTCAGTAGAAGTTGTTCAGTGAATGAATGAAGCCTTTCCCATTATGTATTATCCCAACTTTACAACCTCAGAAACCAAAGCACAGGTGGTAAATGGAACTTGCCAAGTACACTGAGCCGATAAATTGTCAGGCTGGGATTTCAACTCCGACCCCGTGACCTCCGAGCCCCAGCCTCTGCCTGACTCATTTCTCTGGCAGTCTTTGCCAAGGCAGAGGTTAGGACTTAGAAAGAAGGGAGGGAGAGTGAAAAGGGAATGTTTTGTCTCAGATTGGTCTCTGTCCGGCTCCTTGCTTCCCAGTACCACCCTGCTGCCAGGATTCACACCCAGGAGGATGCTCACCAACCCGCCTCACACCGTGCAGTACCCCACGTGGTCAGCAGCAGAACTCACGCCTATGGGCAACCCTCAGACCCAGGCTTCATCCCAACACTCCCTCTTCTCAGCGATGTGAGCACAGACAATTTATTTTACCTTCCTGAGCCTGTTTCTTTACTTGCAAGTTGAGGAAAATAATAGGAACATAACAGTAATAATTTTCTTGCGGAGTACATGTGACAACAACAACCATAATAATAATTATCTTGCAGAATTTGATGTGAGTAGTAAGTAAATTAGTGGGTCTAAAGTGCCCAGAAGAATGCCCAGGACACAGTGAAGATCAATAAAATGCCCCTTCTCTGCCTCTACCTACCATCTTTAGCATCATTTTTAAGGGAGGAGGCGTTGCATGTTCTAAAGAACCGCCATCAAAAATTCACTTTCCAAAGGAGCCTGTTGATAAATCAAGCATGTTTCTTCTCATTCCAACTACTTGTAACGCATTTGCCTGGCAATGGCACCTGTCTGCAACAGAGTGAAAACTCAGAACAGAGGTGTATGGACTCTCTTTTGCCCTAATGATTACTCAAAGGGCCATGACTAGATCAGATCCTGCTCCTGAATTTGCCTGTCATCTAACTCTGGGTTTCTGGCATTCCTGCTAGGAAATGAAGCAGTGAAAGGCAAAAGCCCAGGGAGAACCCAGGCTGATCCAAAGGCCCTGGGAGCAAAAGAAGGACTCAGGCTGAAGTGAGGGGTGAAAAGTACCAAGGAGCAGCCACACAGGGTCCACACCACCTAGACACGCCAGGACCAGCAGGAGCTGAGAAAGGCACAATGATCCAAGAAGGGGACATGCTCTTCGATTCAACCAACTGCAATGGAACATAAGATGAGTCAGTGTCTCAGGAAATGTCAGGACAGGTGCGGTAGGAGGTTACATCAGGTAGCTCTACGCACAAAAAAAAATCACTTGGCTTTGGTTAGAAGAACATTTCAAAACTAAAAATGAAAAACGTAATTATTTCAGATGCAGAATAGTTACAAAATATATGTATATTTTGGGTTGGCTGATTGAACGAATGAATGAATGAATGAATGAATGAATTTCTTTAGTGTACCATCACAGACCCACCTCAAGAAACCCACTCTACAAAGTTTTCAAGAGATCTTGATTGTTGTGACCCTACTTTGTCTCTTGGCTGATATTTCTAAAATGGCACACCAATTTTTTGATGCATTTTTAAATTATAATTGTCAACTGTCCCCCGACACACACATATATAAAGCTTTTGAATTAGTCTTTAGTTATGAGAGGATAGGTGTTTATGTAGGAAAGGGAATAAAAGGAGTAAAGCTTTGACAAAAAATTGTTAAATGTCAAGTATAGGCCAGTCTTGTGTTGACTGTGTGTGAAAGAAGCAGATGATGGAAAGAACACATGTGTGGGGGGCCCTGGGTTAACAGTAGTACCCAGAACTCAGTATTTTCTAAGGGCTTTACATGCGTTATACACTCATATATTCACAATGGTCCAAAGTGCTACCAAGGGGCAGAGCAGGCAACCTTACAGAGAATTGATACCTTTAGCCTCTATGTCACACAGACTTCAGTATGTGAATCCTGCCTCTTATTAGCTGGAGGACCTTAGTCAAGACACCTGACTTCTTTGCATCTATTTGCTCATGTATCAAGTAGGAATAATAATTTCAGTGCACTCTGAGGACTAAAAAGTAACTGCCTAGCACATAGTAGCTGTTCAATAAATGGCAGCTATTATTATTCATTATTGTTTCATTTGACTCTTAAAATTGTTATAGAGAATCCGAATTTCAGAAATCTTTAACTACTCAGTAAAGATCAGACAGCTAGAAAATGGCAAATCTAAAGTTCACTTACAAGTCTGCCTAACTCTAGTACAGTTTTTCAGATTGATTTTATTTTTTAGAACAGTTTTAGGTTCATAGCAAAATTATGAGAGAGGACAAAGATTTCTGTTCTATCCCCTGCCCCAGCACACACACAGCTTCCCACATTATCAATATCCCCCACCAGAGTGGTCCCTTTGTTGCAAATGATGAACCTACCAGTCTATGATTTTCTGCAAATAATTCTGCTTACAAAGTGATTTTTCACCTTAGGTTGAAGATGAAGGTGGTTCACAATGTAGACGAAGCGGCCAGCATTGCCTAGAGGAAACTCTGCCAGAGCAGATCTCTGACGCTGGCATTTTCAGATTTAATTCCCTTTCCCCCAGCTTCACATGCTTGCCCTGAAAATCAACTTCCACTTTATATACATCTTCCTTCCATTTTGCTGCCTCCTGGAGTTCCTGGGATCAGTTAGGCAATTTGGTGGAAGACATTTGCATAATAATGAGGCTAGGTGTCCAGGCTGGCCGAAATGCAGCTACAAAGGCTTCTGTGGAACCAAATAAAAAACCTCCGGCAGAGATCAGACAGTCCTGAGAGGTAGAAGCTCAGTTCTTAGCTCACAGCCGCCGCACGAGCTGTGGGCAAGGATAATAGATCAGCCCCTCCATCATTCAACTTCAGTCATCTAGAATGATATGAGCCTTGCAAAGGCCACAGGTGCTCTGCTTGGCCACACGGGAAGAAGAGCAAGGGGCCAAGGGAATATAAAGAAAAATGGACTGCTTAACGTTTTGCAGTTGTATCTACAGGCTAGCTCTCCCGCCTCTTGGCCGTAAACCTTGTGCCTCCATCTTTGGAGAAATGGAAGAACCACAAAATTCC